ACTTTGCATGTTAGGCGCGCGCTGACGTTTACTCCGAACCTTCTCACTTTATGAATATTTATCGTACGTTTATTTTGATTTTTTATTTTTTCACTATAGCTGATGATGAATAACAGGTGTGACATAATGGTCTAATTAATTTTATCCGATAGAAAATAAATAATATAATATTGGAACTACCGGCTGCTTAATTAAAAATAAACTGCTATATAGATATAATTATAGTAGCCTTATTTATTGGCGATCAAGATTGGATAATACAATAATTTTTCTAAGAATTATAATTTTCTATATAATTGCAAACTAAAATATTAATAACTCAAATTGTTCAAATTAAATTGGTTAATATATAATCTCCTTATATTACTTTAGCTTTTGATCATAACAAATTAAATGGTATGAAAATGTGAAAATGCATTTTTTTTTTTCAATAATCTAATTACAAGATTACATAGAATTACGTAGAAACATTATTTTTTTTGTAATGGATAATCAAAAATACGTTTTTTTTAGCAATCTTATAGCATAATAACGACATTTTTATTTCATTGGGTTACAAGTTCAAGGGACATTTTCCTGATAATACACAAGGCTTTCTAGAAGGAAACGAGACGTTACAATTTAATGGGTTTTGGTTTAAGCCACAGCCTCGTTTGTCTTTCTCTGCGTTCCGGGGTTAGCTTCGAGCGTTACACTGAACAAACAGAGAGAATCTTCTGTAGGAAAGCAGTATAAGCAATCAACATTGCCCATTTTTTATAAAGTTTTTGTTGTTCTCGGACTGGATCTTTACCATCTGCTGTGCATATAATTTTACTCGAGAGTGAAAATATGACGTGACCCATATATGACGTCTTTATATAAGTTCAGATTTTTTGTACATAATTACACAATTAATGATATAATTACGTGACATTTATTCTGTTAAAGAAATCTTATAAACCATCTTTAAAAAACATCAGATAGATTTGTCGATATTAAAAAAGAACGATCGATTAATTAACTCATTTATTCAGTTGAGAGTCGTAATTTTATTATATTATAACTATGCATATATTATTAAAATTTTTAAGTAGAAATGTACAAATATTTATAATGTATTAAAAATAGTTTTGTAAAGTTAGATTAAATATAGTGAGGAAAATTTATAATAAAATTATTTACTTAATTTTGATTTACTATAATTTTTAATACCAGTATTTTTCAGTTTAAAAAGCTTATATTTAGAAATAAGAAAGAAAAGAAAAATTTTATTTTTATAAAATTATTTACATAGTTAAACTTACAGAATTAATAAAAGCTTTTAAAACATAAAAAGACAGGTCGGATTAACTTGTTATTTTACTCATGGTCGAATTATTAAAAGCTAAAGTTTTAAATTATACTTTTAAACTTAATTAAATAATTATTTTCTCATTATATAATACATATAACATAATCATAAAATTTATTACAAGAAAATAAATTATATAAATTATTTATAGTTTATTTTACAATTTATATTCAGTTTTAGATTATTTAAATTTCGTAGAATATTATATTTAACTAGCAAAACAATAGAGAAAATTAAGTAATTTTATATTGAAAATTGACGAGAAATGCAAGCAAAACGAAACCAGTAATTTATAAGATTCATAAGATACACATTGAAGATAACTAAAAAAATGATTATTTTCTTACAAAAATATGTAGGAAGTAGAAATATCACGAGTTCAAACATATAGAAGAGATATAATTTTTTTTCTAATCGAGTTACTTTTTATTTTATTAGAAAGAAAATAACAATATTAATTGTATTATTACTTAAAATATAGAATGTAAAGTCATAAAGTAAATATGAATAATTTTTTTGAGAATTATTATTCTTTAGCAGTAATTATTATACACAAAAAATAATTATTGCATTTGGAAAAAACATTTAATTAATTTGTACTTTTGATTTTAAAAAAGTGTCAATTTTTCCGTATTATATTATATATTTAATTTCAAGAATAATGAAAATTATGTTTAATTATGTTTAATAAAAATTTTAATATTTCTAAAAATAAAAACGTTGATCCTCGAACTAATTTTTTTTTCTTAATTAATTTATATACCACACAATAAAATTAAAAGTAATATTTCGATTAATATTTAAATGGATATTGTTGTTAAACAATATTTATTCTACCATTTAAAAATTCAATTATTTCTATTCAATCTAAGCATTGCTTTATATATCACGTAAAAGCCATTCTATATGAATACTATTGTTTTAACTTCAGAACTGCTCTACACTTTCCAATTATATTAAAATGAGATATTTATATGGGTAGTCCAATTATCCTCAGGAAAAATAAATAAATAAATAAAAAAACTCACTTCCCTCAGGAAAGGTCCTTTTCTTTTAGGATATGCATTATCTTGTAATCAAAGCCAATTGTAATTTAGGATGATAAAGTTAGTGAAATTATATAAGAAACAAACAATCATCCAATGACCATAAAACTATATTTATCAATTCAACAAAACACCCTCCTAGTTGCCGAGTGACCAGAAATTCGTAATGGAAGCGAATTGAAGTGTAAAAGACGCCGTCAAATCTTCATGCAGAGATGCATTGGCTGTTAAAGTGCACACGCACACGTGGCAACAAATGGCATTCGTGATATTACTATTATCTTTTCAGCCAGCAGTCAAAGCGTTTAGGGTGAATTCATCATTGGTATGTTCTCAATTCTCTGCTACGTGCAACTTCGTGTAGCCTACAATGTGCGAATGATGAAAACAGCTGCGTGAAATTTCCAGGCTTGCGCAATCGGAAGTCTAATTCGAAATCGGGAGATTTTACATCCGTCGTTAGCTGATCGAGCTTTCGTTGTATTTATAAAGATAAGGTATCAAAACTTCTATTACTGAATGTATTACTAAACTATAAATAAGTTTTAGAAACATACTTGATAAGTCAATGGGATAGTTATGTAAGAGTGAAAAATTGTTTTGCATTGAATTGCTCTTCAATCATATAAGTGCCATTGATTTTAGTATGACTAATTAATTTTTATCATATGACTTTTGTTAATTTTATCATGACTAAATAATAATCAACTTGCACACGTATTAAGATAAAAAAATTACGCTATCACTTGAAAGCTCCAGTTATCGATGCTGCCATTATTTAAGCAAGAAGCAAGAAGCAAGAAGTTTAGTATCCTGAAGAATTTTCATTCGTTTCACAAAACACTGTTCATAAATCAATCCTTACTTACATTACTTGAAACGAATGGGCCTGATTTTTTGTCATTTTGCACAGAAATTTTTAAAATGTGATTTTCTGTGATATAGTTCCGCTCTTACGAACACATTTTCGAAAATTTATTTTATCGAAAAAAATAAAACATTTTTAATTATGAACAATATAATTGATATATAAATTTTATAACTCAAATTGTATTAAAACAAAACGTATTAATATTTAATAGATTTTGTTATGAACTTTTTATTTATTTAAAAAACTATCTAATAATTCCGAAACACGATTTAAATTCACAAATATACATTTTAAAATTTTAAGATATATTATCATTCTATTTTAGAATTTAAATAGATTTTAAATTAGATACTACAATATAGATTTAAAATAGAGTTAAATGTATCAATTTGATCCAAGACTTTGAATATGCAGGATAAGTAATTCTACTGTTATAAATACTAAATATACTATCGATACTAACGATATTTTTCATTATAATTATATATATAAACAATAATTGTCAAAATTGAAATATTATTTTATAAAACAATACAAACATATCCTGAATATAATTTTTAATTTTGAATATTTAATAATACAACATTTTAATATTTTACCTCTAATATAATAATTTTAAAATCTTCGTATGATTATTTTAAATTTAATGAATTTAAATTATAACGGAAATGAATTTTTAAATATTTGCCTTTAGAAATTTCTAATATTATTAATATTACAATATATATATATATATATAGGGACATTTTTCATACAATAATAAAATTGGTTTCAGTTTTCTAATATTTTATGTAATTGATTTAGTTATAGAAATATAATCTATAATTATGTGTATATATAAAATAAGGCAAGAAAACCAGTCATTAATTATATTTTATAAAATTCATGCTTAGTAGAATGCAGGTAACGAGAAATAGGAAATCAGTTGTTATTAAACATGCTAAACTAAAAGACTATTAAATATATTAAAAATAAATACAAGTTATAGATACATTAAAATATTATATATATTTTTTTCTCTATTCTAAACAATCATATTACCATATATATTTATAAAATCTTGACGTGCTCGATCATACATTATAATTGACAGAATTTTTTGTATTAACTATTTTATTTATTTTACGTACAAATATAGAAATACAGAAAGAGAGAGAGAGAATAATAAGTCAAGATCAATACGAAGTGAACAATACTTGCGCATGCAATATATGGGAAAAGCATGGGCAGAAGCACGGATAATGCATATATTGATGGAAATAATCAATGTTGATTAATTCAACGACGAATTATGGTAACTCATTAATTTTTCAATAAAAAACATCTGTTTAACTGTATTTGAAATTTAAATAAACTTTATATATATATATATATATATATATATATATATATATAAAATTTTGCATCTGCATATGTTTTTAATTATCATTCATTTTTAATAAGATTAAATGTAACTGTAATTTTACTTTATTCGTTCAATTAAACAGTAATAATTAAGTTTATGAAAGAAAGGGTAGAGAAAACAATTTTAAGTTAGATGAAAAAATCGTAAAAATATACAAATTGTTATCATTAATTAAAATAGTGATAAAAAATAAAAAACAACTCGAAAAGTGAGGATTTCAATAATATAATTCCCACTGCGAGTTGTCAAAAAAAAAAAATATATATATATAAACAAATTTAAAAAATATAAAAATAATGAAGAGTAAAGAGTATATATAAAAAAGAGCTTATGGTTAAAAATTACCTTCCAGGACTGCATAGAGAAACCAGAGAACCAGAGGGTAACCAGTCCATAACATAAGAAGCGAACAAAAAACAGAAAGATAGGTAAATTTGCATTAGGTTGGTTTCCACTGAAAATTTGTGTATAGAAGATATACATATATATATATATATATATATATATATATATTTAAATATATATATATAATTTGTTTTATACAATATATTATTTTCTAAAAAAAAATTTATCGATTGGCCTCTTTTAATTTAAGGTTTTGTAAAGATAAAAACTCTGAAGGAATTTAAGATTCGATTATAAAAAAAATCCGTAATTTATCGTTAAAAGTATTTAATTTTTCTTTTTTCGCTTATCATTTTTTTTTAGACAAATTATTTATAAAATACAATATAGTTTAACATTTATAACAAATTTTAATTATGTCGTATATGTTTCATTTATCTATCATTTTTTGCAAATTACTGCTGGAATACTTCCAAATGATATATCACAAAATACATGTACTTTCAAAATTTTCATTAAAAGTAATCTTATATTTTTGCTTACACTAGAAAATTTAACGATATAATTTGATGATTAGTGTATACTCTCATCAAAATACCGGCAACATAAATTGAGGCTTAATATCATAAAATGTTGTTCGATAATAAATATGTTCTTGTAAAAATTAAAATGAAGATTAATAACAAATAAATTATAATAATAAACATAATTTATACAATATTTATTATTTATTTATTAGTTTTATATTAGATGCACTAATATATATATAGGCATTTCTCCAGCAACATATCATAAAATAGTCAATATGTATTTGTGGATTCATATAAAATTAAAATAGTTGATGTACAATCGTGCTTATGACGTTGATAAGTATAATCCTATTAAATGCATAAATTATTATTAAATTTTACCTGTATAATTTTATGGTACCAATTGCCATTTAAATACTTATAATATTTTCAATATTATATAAAACTTACTATTTTGCTTAAAATTTTTTTTTTCATAACCCTTGTATACAATAAAATTATTCAATATTTTCAAAAAATATTTAAAATAAAAATGACATATATATATATGTGTGTGTGTGTGTGTGTGTGTGTGTGTGTGTGTGTGTGTGTGTGTAATTATTTAATATAATATATTTAATGCATTGTCATAGTTCTAAGTTTTTAAATTACTCCTTGATTCAACTTACTCCTTATATCTGTATAATCTGTGTATATAATACTATGTAACTGAGCAAATAATCATATACATAGTTATTGAATACTTTACAAATGTGCAAAAAATTATAAATGTATTTACATATTTAAAAATTTAGATATAAATTGTTAAATGATACAATTGTACATAACACACGTTTATTTGATTAATACATAATAAATAAATGATTATTAGATGAATCTGTCTTTCAGCCCATGTCAAATTAAACATTGGATGAAATTACTTCTCTGAAGCTTGATTTCAAATAACATTATTGGCATTTAGATTGTTTACGCCATGTTCGAGGGAAATTAACTATAATTTTAATTAGAAAATTTCTTACAAGAGAAAATTATTATGAGACGTGCCCAGAATATTTGAGTTTTGGGTGACATTAATATAAGGGTAGATTCGTACTTTTGATTTAAATTCTACGTTATATTTTACTATAAATAAATTGATAATCCATTTGTACTACCGATTAGTTTTCACTAATTAAAAAGGATTACTCAAAATCACATAAAATTTATACAAAGTACTTATATGTATTTATAAATTCCTTAATTCGTAGAACGTGGTGGATAAAATGAGATATTAATTCAATTGATGATCGATTCTGGGCCAATTAATGGTTCTCTTCTGTGTACATACGCAAGAGCAAGACGTTTTATAATTGATTGATACAAGCATATCCATTTGTTTGTAAATTCCGGTTAAAGTTTATCTTCAGTTCCTTCAGCTTTGCTAGATCAAGCAATGTTAAGATAAAGTTTTCACGTAAAATCAATCCAGAATTCAACCATAAAAATCAAATAATATTAATAATTTAGCTGTTTTCTGTTCATACTTATTTTAATTTTTCTATTTAATCAAGAGAATGAATTATTTGTAATTAAAAACTTAAAACAATTTCTAATAGATGAAACATTATAATCGTAGAGTATGATGTGCTTAAGATTTATTCAAATATTCATCTATTGACTATTTATGTAAAATATCATAATGCAATTGGATCATTTAATGTTATAATTTAAAGTTTTATGTTGAATATTTTGCGTAGGGAAATATAATTATATAATGTAAATATAGAAAGATTTCTTAATATAATATAAAAACAAAAAAAATTGTTTACACGCTCTATTTAATTATACATATATAAATTATGTGCATAGGCATAAAAATTCAATAAAATTTTGTATTCTGATTAAAAAATATATTATACTTTCATATTGTAAATTATAACGAATACAAGAAGCTTTTAGTTAATGAATTGCATAATATAAAATATTTCCTTGTTTATTATAAATTTATTTTGTAGTTATCATAAGAAATATTTTAACATCATTTTTTTAAATTTACAATTAAAGTAACTAGAATTGATTGTTATTTTGAATATTTAATTTATTATTTTTATACTTTAGATTTATTATTAATTTGCAATTTTATTTTAACACCAAATATTTTCAATTTTTACGTAATTATTACAACACTTCTTTTATCGTATATTTAGTAAATATTTTTGTAAAATTTATATCTTACAATATTTATTTCAATTTAGTAAAGCATTTATTCTATTTTATTTAAAAGATTAATGTAATATTCCCAAAATATATATTTTGTAATAAATTTTATAAACTTATCTAGTTTTATATAATATTTCTAGATTTTCCAAATCATTAATAATGGAATTTGATTGACTTATCTCTAAATTTTTTTTAATATATCAATTTATTTTATTTCAAACACTAAATAAAAATGCATCATGATATTAATTATGAAACCATATGTATGGAATTTTTTAATATATAATTTAACAGTATTTATTTTATTTCCATAACGTTTTAGAATTAAACAGTAAGATCTATGAAATTCATAATATTATTACTATAATACACATAATACTATAGATATTGAAATGAAACTTAACATGAAACTAATACACGAAATTAATAAGCTTAATACTGAACTAAGAAGTCCACCGTAGTATGAATTTTAATTATAAAGGAACAATATATTCGCATCTGTAATGACATTAAAAATTCACTTCATAAAATAAATAAAAATGTAATGTATACAAATGTTTTTGTTCCTTTTTCCGAAAAAATTCTTGTTGTGTATATTTTAAAGTGAAAGCTAGAGAATAAAATGTATACTTTTTCTACTCGAAATATAGAATTAAAATTGCGTATTTTTATTTTTTTCCTAAAAGAGAACATATAAAAATGCAAGTACGTGCAGAAAATCACTACAAGTTACCATTATCTATGTTCTGTAAATGGTGTAGAAGATTTTTATCCGTGAATGTATTTTTACCTATTAGTTTTTGTTTATTACATATTTTTTATTAATATTGGTGATCATATAAATTATATAAAATTGTAATTGCAAAATAGAATATAATCGGTAACTAATTCACTAATATTTAAATATATCAAATTATAACTAACTTTCATATTAGACATTTATATTCCATTATTGTATCTTAATATATATTAACTAATATGAAAATTTACATTTTTTAGATTATAATATATTTATCATTTTTTATTTAAATTCATTAAACATTGTATCCTAAACAATATATGAAAAGTAGCAAATATTTTCAAAGTATTTTAATAGATAATAATAGGAATAAATAATTCTAAATTTGTATTGGGGCAAATAATTTTAAGGTAATTAATTTTGAAGTACTTTATACGATCTAAAAATGTTTTTAATTATATTTCCAGATATTACTTCAACGAATACGATAAGTCTTTAAAAGTGAAAGTCAGACCAAACTGTTTGTGCATTAGAATTCAAAGTAATTTAACAAAGTAAGTTTTTAATTAAAACTGTAAATAAAAAAGTACTTTGTATTACAAATTTCTGTAAGAACTTTGAAATTCCTTCTAAATTTATTTAAAAACACAATTTAGATTTAATTAAAAAGGTATTGAATTAAGCGTTTCATTTGATTTTTATTTTATAAAATTATTTTTATTTATTTTACTTCAAATTTTGCGATAAAATATATGTTCTGAACTATTGTATATATTTGCATCTGTGGATGAAATTTAGATTTTTTCAATTAATAAATTATTACGAGTTAATCTAAAAATTATATATTAATTTGAAGGGTCATTAAATTACGAAATAGTAAATTAAAACATAAAATAAAGGTAAAATTTTAACTTATAAATTATCTAACTATAAAGAAAATAATATAAATGTGAGTATTACATGGGCAGTTAGAGTTTCAAAATTATACTGTTATGCTTGAAAACGTTTCTTTATAATGATACAAAAAATGTAATTAAACCTATAGTTATATATAATTAAACTTATTAAAATTTAATTAAGCTTCTAAATGTAGTTAATAATCCTGCGTACATTTGAGTCATAAAATGAACTTTCTTATTTTTCATATTTCCATAACTATATAAAGAAATTAGAAAAATAGAAACATAATCCATTCGTTAAAGTCTAGAGTCATTTGACGAATTCCTGTAATTTTACATATTTCTTATTCCTTGTCTCTTGTGACAGATTTCAAATTTGTGCACGAGGTATAATTTTCGTGAATTAAAATAAATCTAAAGGTGAAAGAAGCAATTCGAACTCTAGAATGCGCTCATTCGATATTAAGATCGAAAACTCGAATTTTCGATTAATTCAGAGTTGCTTTATGTATGCACTTCATTTTTATTCTGAAAGTCGAATCAGAATTTTCATATTATTAAACGAGTATATGTAAAGAAAGATGAAATGATTTGTATGATATAAAGAAAATTCTTTTATGTTTTTTATATATTCATATAGAT